GGAGTACGTCCAAGGCTTGGTGGAAGAGAGCCGGAACATATCCCTCTGGTTATGTTCCTTTGCAATAGTGGCCACAATACGATGGGCAGAAGGGGAGCCCACAGGAACACACCAACAARTTTGAAGATGCACTAGGAGTGTTCTCTTTCGATGAAGACCTAWAGGTTCGAGAATTCTCTAAATCCTTGACTAGGCCAACATACTCGTGGTTTTTCAACCTGACGGCAGGGAGCATCGACTCTTGGGATGAGTTAGCCAAGAAGTTCTTATCTAAGTGGTTCACCCTCAAGTAGAGGTTGACGATGGTGGACCTACACAACACGGAACAACGTATTGGGGAAGACCTATTGGCATATGTCATACGATTTCAAAAACTGACACACTCGGTCTTTGAAGAGCACACAACAGAAAAGGGCTTCGTGGAACAATGCATCCAGGGGATGCACCCAACATATCGAAAACATCAAGATTGAAACATCCAATCATCTCTAGAAATGTGTTGAGAGAACAACATAGACTGTCACCACCCCAGAATCACGACTAGCTTCATTAGGGCTACAGTATGCTAAGAACAAGACATATGTCGTTGATCGCAGACCCMAAATGTAGGATTGGGATCGAGAACATCGAGATTGAAACATTCAACCAACTCTAGAAATGCATTGAGAGAATAGCACAGACTATCACCACCCCGAAATCATGGCTAGCTTCATCAGGGCTATAGTACACTAACAATGAGACATATGTCATCGATCATAGACCCCGAAATACTAGAGAAACCAGCCAAGGGCATTACTATCTTGACGACAACCAAATATGATGAAATGGCCCACTGCCAACACCCCCTCCATTCCCCTACACCAATAATGAAGTGACGATCATGAGCAAGCTCATGGAAGATCTTGTAATCAACCTACAACCACCACTAGCAGGAGTCGACCCCGAGAAGGGAAAGCATGGGAGAAAATGGTGTAGCTATCACCAGTGGCTGAATCATGATCTGGTAGATTGCTTCACCCTCTGGCGGCTCTTCACATAGAAAAGTGAAATTGGCTGATTTTGCTAAAAAGAAGTCAACATAGTTAGAGACAAACCCCCACCCCTTGCACTCGCAAGGAGGTAGCATAAACATGGTCGGATCTTTAGGAGGTGATCATGTAGATGTGTTAATACAATGGTTTGAGCAGAACCCAAACTTGTAATAGTTCCTCAACAAATAAGGGGCCAATGCCACGGTGCAACAACTCGCCATCATGGCATTGGTGAAAGCTTTTAGGACACTATTTGAACCACACTGCATAAGAAAGTCTTATGTAGAATTCACCCCAGATGACGTGTTGGCCACAAACCCCCACAACAACCAGCCCCTGTATATCATAGCCAAAATAGGGGGTATGAGATGCGATGCTCCTTACTTAACCAAGGAAGTTCCGTAAACCTGATCTTCCTCCACACCTTGAAACTCATGAATATATTGAAGGAAACTATCAGAGGGCTACCTAAGGAGGCCATGGA